GAGAACGGATATACGAGACAATTAAAGGATCTGGATTGGAGGCCCGATTCGAATAAGTTCATCGATACAGAGTGGTCGGGGTAAATAGCAAGTGTGATAAGGACATATTAGGCCTGTTACAAAAGGGCATACATTTTGACGATTGGAATGTAAACAAGTGAGCAGTTGTGATAGAGCGGCAGTGGGATAAGAGGTTAAAGAGTAGATAGATAGATAATGATAGAAAGAGGAGTTATAGTGTAACCGTTTTCGGCAGAACGTTTGTCGAGGAATTGACTTCACTTGTCTCTTTGACGAGTTCGTATCTTGGTGCGGATAATGGCAAAACTCACTGATGATGCCGGCGAAACGTTTGAGAATTTATCAAGTCCACTGTCAGATGCTGGGAATCATGACAACTACTATGCGACTTCGGCGAGAATGTACCAAGTCCACTGTCAGATGCTGGGAATCATGACAACTACTATGGCAGACGACTTCGGACTAGAGAATGTATCAAGTCCACTGTCAGATGCTGGGAATCATGACAACTACTATGGCAGACGACTTCGGACTAGTTGTGTTCTACATAGTCCTCCTGACAACAAGACCAAGTTGCGACAACGAGGTCAACTCACTTCTATAAATTGAAAGGAGACTGCGACCATAACTGAGGCCACAATATCTTGGTCTTCATATATTGCCTTTTTAATGCTTACCAATTAAATTTTCTATTGAACCAATTTCTTAAAGTTTACATCAAACATTTTTTTGCCCTCTGCTATTGCCTTAAAAACCTCAACAAACCCCATATTAAGTAAAATTCAACGAACATGTTGGATCGAAGCTGAGTAATAAATATAAAAATTAAATTATGTGTAATGACACACTCGTTATTATGATTACCTCTTCTCCTCCTTATAAAAGACAGTAGGATAATTTTTCATTCCGTTGCCACTATGTAGGCTAACCAATCTGCTGTGATTTGGTCTATTTTTCACTGCTTATTTTCTGGGGAAGCCGTAACAAGGCTAGCCTTAACAATCGCCTTATCCTCCAATTAAATAAATAGTGTTTAATTATATAACTTATTTTTATTGAATACGTTCTATCACTCAGGAAAAGCTTCATTTTTTTGAATAAATGTTACTTTTATTTTCAATTGGCGGATATCACGATAATAGACTAGGTGAGCTCTTTAGATCTTTGTATTTTTGCGCTCGCGGCTAGTTTTGCAGAATATTTCATCTATAAGTGTAAGTATCATCATAATTTCGTCATCCAATTCATCGTCACTACGATTTGAATGATCGGGTTGATCACTTTTTGCTTATTTTAAATCATGAGCATTAGGATAAATCAATTTTCATAAAGTAAACCTCACTTACCTCGTGCATACTCCTAAAAAGTTGTTAAACTAACCTAACTTCAAGTAACTATCATAGTTTATTTATGTTAACATATATTTTTATAGCTAAGGTCCCTTATAATTCAAAATATTTTCCTTTTTATTCATAACCCTTTTCGAAAAACTCTTTTATCAGCCAAACTGTGAGACGCAGTTTAAGCAAAATTTTTCCCACACCTGGAACTCCCCATCTGCTCTGGCCTTCGATTCTAAGATCCTTGCAAGCCATGCTACTCCTATCAATGATTTAGGACATCCGGTAAGCTCTTCTTCCTCTGACAATTATGTTACAAACTCAAATGATCAATTTATGCTCTCTGATTGTGTAAAAGATGAGCGCTGCCGCTACAAGAGTAGTCAGATTTGCATTAATACCGCCAGCCGTAACATCAACTGTAATACTAGTAGTGGTGATGATGACGACGATGTGGTAGGCATCGATGGCTCTGTGCCAACCGCCCAAATAGCCAGTCACGAGACTAGCGATTCGGATTGCAGTGCCGCCTCGATAGATAGCAGCTTGCATAGCTCAGAAGAAGTCGCCTTGGCTTGCAAATCCACAAGGATGGTTTCACAGGTGACTGGATGGGGAAATGATGTAGCGGTGGAAAAGATCGATCAGCTGGACACTGTGTTATTTGAAAATAATAATAGTGACCCAATCCTTGGCGTCATCCAAAAGGAACATGGCTTGAGAAAGTCAAGAGAAGAGACTGATACTGGAGAGACCAGTTTGCAAGAAGCTAACAATGCCAAAGCTTCTTGCCAACTTCATGTTCTAGATTCATCAATTGGGCTGGTATCGCTACCTAATCAAAGTACAGATGAGGCCTCGGATAGTGGCATAGCAACATACTCATCAGATGAAAAAAATGCTATAGTGACGGGTCCTTCATTTTCTGATTTCATTCGGCCATACTCGTCATTGACTCCCTCGACTACTTCCCCAACCTCCGCATCTACTTCTCCATCACAGCTCCACTCTTTCTCCACCACAATTTCGCCTCCATTTTCCCTCTCCAATTCGTCTCTATCTTCCTCTATGTTATTGACTGGCGAGACCAATACTTGCAAGACTGGCCTTTGTCTCTTACCAGAGTCCACGGAACCCGCAGTCTCTCGCCTTCGACAAGCCTCAGGGGCTAGCTCAACCAAAACTGCACTTTCCAGTCTTCAGGTGCCAGCCACTTGAGCCTAGCTCATTCACTATAAGGCTTGTGCAAACAAGCAACGACGTGCACGATTATTTACACAATATTAGCATTTTCCAGATTTTTGTCCTTGAATTTTGCTCATCATGATTCTGGACCCGATATATATATATATATATATATATATTCAATCTTTCATTCATTTGATGGCCTGCTCCCCAACTCATTGATTGCTGTGTTTTTTAATTCATTGAAAAATTCGACAACGCACTTCATATTTGAACACGACCGAAATCAGCTCACCTTATCCATCAGTATAACAACCTGGCAGAATTATTTGTCTATCTCCTAGTTTTTCCTGTGCATTTTTTCTCAT